ACACTAATTTAATTCGATATGGGCACACCACAACTGATTTAATTGGATATGGACACATCATATATAGGTGACTTAATTTGGTATACCACACTATAGTTGATTTAATTTGATATGGATACATCATAACTAATTTAATTCCATGTGAGCATACAAGAAAAAGCGGTGCTTCAAACAATGCTCTCTTGTTTGGTACTATTTTTCTATAAAAAATATTATTCCTGATTATCATTGGCAGCAATGCGTCGTTTTCTTATAAAACATTGAATTTGACAATGCTCAAGACCATACTTGTTTGGTGCTTCAAACAATGTCCTCTTGTTTGATACCATTTTTCTAAAAAAACATTACTCCAAACCATACCTTAGAAATCAGGAAAGTGTGGTATGGAATACTGTCAAATTCAATGTTTTATAAGAAAACAGTGTGTTGTTGCCAGTGATGCAATGATATAATATCATCTTGGACATTAGATAATATAGATCAATGTTGAAAACGTTGTTGTGTTTTCTCAAAAAATGCCTATGTGACAGCACCGGTCCAAACAAGAAAATGGTACTTACAACTCCACATGCATAACACCGTTTTTATAAGAAAACGATGCACTATTCCCAGCACAGATGCCTAACACCTACTTAGGTGGCATTAGGAAGAATGTTCTATCTCGTAAATGGACTGTTTCAGTCCATACCATGGGATGAATAGAAAAATCGGTTTGGTGTGGATGGGACTGGTCCACAATATATCGTGGACCGGACCCGTCCACAGTTAAATATCTCGTCAACTCTTTTTTATCGTGGTTGATTTCGGTCCCCTGGTATTATACAATTTTTTATTGATAATATGTATCACATGCATCATTTTTACCCTATAGCATTTCACTTGCATTTTATTGTTGAGCACCGAAGCTCTCCTGCCCCTATGCTCTACAAGGATGAAGACGATTCTCCACCGATTTGCTCCATCAACCGGTCTGCCATTTCCGTCTTTCTCTCTCTTTCTCCTTCTCTCTCATGTTTTTTACTTTCAACTTTAGTTAATAAATAGAACATTCATCTGAGCATTCTTCTCCACCGATGAATGTTCTCTCAAGCTGCAGCTTGAACTATCACTTCTCTGTTGAAGTTCTCCTTTCGGATTTGTGGTTTTTTTTCAATTGAATGTGTTCTGTTTCGTTAATTCCATTCTCTTAAACCTCCATTGTTGCAAGAGCTAAAACCCTTGAACAAAACACTTTTCAGTGATTACTATTTGAATGTGTTTTCTCCTCGACCATTTACACCCATTGTTTGAACCTACATGTTAAGGAAATGTTAATCTCATCAGAACAAAGAAAGAACCAAAAGATATAACAACACAAAATGGGTGTAAAGAAATTGAGCAAGGCAACAGACAGTACAAATGTGCAGAAGAAGATAGAAAGTCCCCATTTTGCCTCCAACCTGAGAAGATAAAAGAGCAATTGAGCATTACCAAAAACAAATGCTTTCCTTGAATCTGTTAAAGACTTATAGTTGAGTGGCACATTATTGGTTTGCACAAGAAAATTAAATGCTTCTTTGGCAATAGTTTGAATTTAAAGAAATTCCAATATTTTTTAGCAAAAAAGGAACTCAAAAGTTATGGTAAGAACGACTTTTCTCTTTTGTCAGTGCACTTCATGATCTCTATCAAAGAGTTCAAGAAACCAATGGACCAATATTTTGTTGTTAAGCTTGTCTTACCATATTGGTTTTGTTATTTCTATTTAAATACTAGTTGTAATGTAGGTGGTTTTTTCCACAACTAGTAGGGGATCCAATGGGTTATTAGTTTGTATAAACAGTTTAATGTTATGCTTGTCTTGTAATAATTTGATATTTTGTTTGTTTAAATATTATTTTTTAGTATTTTATCAATAAAATAATAATTTTAAATTTTTAAATGATTTTATTACCATTTTTTTAAATTAATATTTTTAGTTAATATTTAATTGCCAATGCCTTTTCTCCAATGTATTTATCATATAAATTGTAAAAACTAGAGATTTAAGATCAACTGTGTAGATTACTTCATAAGTTGTATATGAGATATATGAAATCAAAAAGTTCCACACCACACCTACAGTTTACTTTATAAACCATATATGAGATTAATCAGTCCACAGAGTCTATCCACAATTCAAAACAACTATGGACTGTGGTATAGTGTCAATTGGTCCCTACTAGGGGCGGAGCTAGGGAGTGGCAGAGGGGAGTCATACCCCCCCCCCCCTATGCCTTCAAAATTCCCTTTAAATCTATTTAAGTTCCACTTGTATTTTAGCCCCTTTACTCATGTTTTATAGCTTTTGGCCCCCTCAATAAAAAATCCCAACTCCGCCCCTAAACCCTGCTAAAGTGGTGTAGTGTAAACCAGTCCACACCCACAAATTTTTCATCCACACTACAAAACACCCCATTAATTTGATACACCATACGATTGATTTAATTTGATATGGCCACACTAAAGCTTATTTAATTTGGTATGGCACATCATGGCTGATTTAATTTGATATGGTCACCACATTTTGCATCCTATTGCATGCATGAGGTATTAGGTATTGATGGAAAGGGATAGAGACTATTGTATAGGTATATCAAAATTTGTATTGATTAACCTAAAATGTTGCAATTAGAAGTGACAATGGTACCAAACACAACCATACTAGTTGGGGTAGGGGTGCAAAGGGATGAAAACTTTATTGTATGGGTAGATCAAAATTTGATTGGTTGATATTAGAAATTGAATAGGATCTCTCTCTCTCTCTCATATATATATATAGAATGTGGTTTACAATCAGATATTAAACAGTATAAAGAAGCTAAATCTAATATGATTTAAAGTATTATTTATTATTAATAATATGAAAAAAATGATGTCAATATATATTGTAATTTATGAAAAACGAATTAAAAATTATACTTGTAATAGAAAGAAGTTAGAACAGAAACGTAAACATTTCATGTTATGGGACCGAAAACCATTCATTTTGTCTTTCAAAAACAAATAAAAGAAGGGAAAAGTCTTTCATTTTGCATGATGTATTAGGTGTTGCTAAGGCAATGTTTGGTTGCAGTGCAATTTTATTTGCATAGTATAAAGGCACGGGAGTACAAATGAAAAAAAATGTAAAATTTCATTTAATTTTATTTTGGGTTTTACTTTATTTTGCTTCATGTCTTAATTTACTTCATTTATACTGCAATCAAACAAAATAAGTTAAAATTTAAAACAAAAATAAATTGAAATTTACATTCAAATCATTTGCACTATCATAATTTTACATCAATATAAATTCATTTGCATTGCAATCAAACACAGTCTAAAGTGAACCTATCATCTGGTTCAGTTGGTCAAATATACTTATCAACCCAACTTCAATTTCAGCCATTCGAGAGATGTTTAATTGCATCATATTTTGCCCACTTTATCGAAAGTCCAATTTTGTATCCTAACTTGTCGTTTTTATAGTAGAAGCCCTTCGTTTCAGATAATGCTTCGTTGATTTTTTTCCCTTAATCAATGCTTCGTCGAATTGAGTTCCATAAAAGTGAAACAGACATCTAAAATACGGTCCAAAATTATGACGAAGCGGCACAACAGTCAATAGAGTTAAAGATATCACTCTACAGATGTAAAAATGATTGTTCCCTCTCATCTAATTTATATTAATAATGATTTGTACGGGTAATTAAATAATATATTCAAAATTTTTGTATTTTATATTTTTTATATATTTTTTTTGATTTTCATTATTAATTGGATGTAGATTATGAAATTTGGATTTGATTACATAAGCACTTCATATTAGGTTATAAAGTTTTGGGCATGATTTTTAAAATCGGACTAAACCAAAAAAAGTGGAAAATAGTCAGGTGACCGATTCCGTTTTACCCCAAAACCGTTATTTCGTCAAAATGTATCTTTGATTTGGTTAGCAAACCGCTGATCTGGGCAGTTGAACTATTCGAACCGTCCAACGGTTTTGCCATTTTTATTTTTTTGTTAGAATGGGTCGTTCGTTCGGTTCGAAAGATTGGACCGTCCAACCCATGAACTGGACCCTTGACCGATTCGTTGTCTGGTTCAACTTCACCTCCCCTAAGTAAGACATTGACAATTTGACACAACTCATATATGGGTCATCAAATCGAAGCCCTCGCACTGGATTGCAGGATTCGTGGCAGTAGATTCAATAATAGACTTAAGGCGGTGTTTGATATAGCTTCCGTTTATTTGATAAATGGTGCTGATTCATATGCATAGGTATTGATAAAAGTTGGTATTGATTTATGTGTGTGCCAGCATCTATTTAATGCTTCTCCCAATGATTAAGCGTTCCACGATATGGTGCCGAGTGGTGTCTAATTATTAATAAATAAATAAAAAAAACATTTACCAACCAATTTTTTCTCGATTTTAAAGAGAAATCAAGTAGAAGCGTTTATTTAAGCCATGCCAAACGTATACTTAATAGTTCCTTTTTATTTGGGTGCTTCTCCCTTTTCTTACTGTTAACAAATCAAATGCTACTGTGGTCCGTACTCCGTAGATTTGTAAGGGCTGGCCGTTGGATTTCCCGTCATGTGGCCAAGAATTGGTGAGGTGATTCTGCTCAGAGAAGTAATTGAACGATGATGAATCGTTTGTACTTTGGAGTTATTCGTTTGTTTCTTTTCAACGATCCATGAATTATACTGATCGGTCGGCAAGAGGGAAAGAAAAAGGAAATTTTTGGTACAGCCAATGATACAATGCAACTGCAACAAGATAAAAACATAGGAATCCCGGACTTTATCTAACAACACCCGTGTATTTTTGTGGTGTAAGTGGAACCCATCAAACACCAAAGCCCAAGTGTAATCATATCCGACGGTTGAAAGCCCTAGCGCAAATGACGAGACATTGTTTGCACCGATGCTGGTATAAATAACTTGCCTCTATAGATTCCTTCTTGATATTGTTAACTATATATTTATATGAAAGAATGAAGATGGGAGAGCAAATTGTAAAGGGGGAGAGTAGTAGAAGAGTGAAAGAGTATAGGAGGAGAGGAGGAAACAGAAGAAGAAATGGGGTCAGCAGGGTCATCAGTTCCTGCTCTCTTTCTTCTCCTCTCCATCTTTTTCTTTATTGCAAGCATTAAAGAAGCAGAAGCAGCGGCACACCGACAACTCCAGCAATCCGACAGAGTAATTAATCTGCCCGGTCAACCCTCAACCCCCTCCATCTCACATTTCTCAGGCTACATCACCGTTGATAAAGATCGTGGGAGGGCCCTCTTCTACTGGTTCTTTGAAGCTCAATCTCACCCGTCCAACAAGCCTCTCCTTCTTTGGCTTAATGGAGGTCATACACAATATCATGCTGGATTCACCACTGCTTCTTAATTCCTTTTGAATACTTCTCTAGTGTGAATTTTTTGTGTTTGTTTTTATGATTGTAGGTCCAGGGTGTTCTTCTGTAGGATATGGTGCAGCTACTGAGCTCGGTCCTCTTAGGGTTAAGAGCAATGGAGTCGGCCTTGAGTTTAACAATTTTGCTTGGAACAGAGGTTTTCATCTTCTTTCTCTTGCCTTCTTTCTTTCTTATCTGCTGGTTTTTTCTCTGCCACACCACACACACACAACTCTGAGTTTTTGAGTCTGAGAGAGAGAGAGAGAGAGACAGAGAACCAAGTTCTATAAACCTTGACCATATTTAGCCCAATACGAGTAGATTTAATCGGAGATAAGAATTCACGAGATTCACGACCATCATTGGAATAACCGTGACAACATAGATAAGGGAATTGAGCCTTCTTAACAACTCGGACCGGAGTAAAAACCGGAATGCTCTCCGGGTTCCGGTTAAGCAGGCGGTTTGCCCATCCAACCCGCCAAAACCGTCATTTAACTGGGACCCAGAAACGCCACCGTATCCAAGCAAAAATTGAGGCAGTGAGGCTTTTTTTTTTTTTCTAAAGAAAAGAGGTCCCAAATCCAGGGTTCTGAAAATCGGATCAGTCGGTTGGTTGAATCGGATTTAAGTAGAACCCATGAACCCCTTTTCAGTTCACAGTTCACACCCCCACCAAAAATAAATAAAAAGAAGTAAATCAATAGGAATATGTTCAGAAACCATTGACTTTGGTCAAATCCAGATGACCACGATTGGTGTGGGAATTTTCATATTTTAGTAAACATATTTATGACATCAGCAATAAATTCGGTTGAATCGTGGCCAAACTATTACTAGGTCCTTTCCGGCCCATCGTCTAGTCCGGTTTAGTGGAAACCTGTTTTTCTTGGTTCTCTCTTTCAATTTCATGGTCATCTCTTCCAGATTTTTCTAGCATTTTAAATTAGTCTATTGCCTTCACTCAGTAATTAGTCTATTGAAAAAAGAATAATAACTTTCAAAATTTGAATCTAGCATTTAAAAATAGTCTGGTTGCAAAGAACAAGATTCAAATTTTGAATCCAGCATTTGAAAGTAATCTCCTTGCAACAACATTTTTTTTTCTTCAAAATTTTGAACCTAGAATTTGAAATTAGTCTATCCTGGCAAAAACAATTTCAAAATTTGAAACCAATTTTGAGATTGACAAATGGGTTTCTGCATTTTTTATGACAGAAACCCATCACAAGAAACTATTGCCACGTAGAATAAAATCGGAAATTAACAATTGTAACAACTAACAACAAAATACACGTACCCTGAGCATTGTGTTAGAAATTGGACTCCACTCCACTCCACTACTTGAGACCATTATCGACTCAAGAAGAAATTGGTTTTGACTCCATCCAGTTCAACCATTATCGACCCAAATGATCGTTCAATCTGCCCAGTGTTTAGTAAAACTCAATTTGACGCTCAAACCAACTCAACCAGTAAGGTTCAGTTTTTTTGGACACCACCATTATTAATTCTTCTTACATGTAAAATCTCTTTCTGTTTTTGCTCCTCTCCCTGCAGAAGCCAACTTATTATTTGTGGAATCACCGGTGGGAGTTGGGTTCTCTTACACCAACACATCCTCTGATCTCACCAAATTGGACGATGGATTCGTGGGTAATAACTATCCCAGCTCCACTTGCTTTCATCATCTTCTTCAGATGAGCGATTTAATTTGTTCACATGTGGAGCGGCTCCATTATTACTAGTTTACACTGTTAAAATTAATTTAACTGACAGTTCAATTCTTTGATTCACATTCACTCAGCTGAGGATGCCTACAGTTTCTTGGTGAATTGGCTTGAAAGATTTCCGCAATATAAGACCCACGATTTCTTTATATCAGGAGAGAGTTACGCAGGTGAAGAAGAAGAAGCTAGTCCTTTGTCATGAAATATAAAATTAAATCACCAGAATTCTTGACAATCTCTGATGATGTTATTAATTCTGTAGGACACTACGTTCCTCAGCTGGCTGAGCTTGTTCATGATCGAAACCAAGACAGAAAGTATCCATTCATTAACCTGAAAGGTTTCATTGTAAGTCCCCAACTGTCCCAGTAAATTAAAATCTCGATCGTCATCCGATGCATGTTGTTAATTAATTAATATTCAGTTGCTAATTAAGGGATGAAGATGAAGTGCAGGTGGGGAACCCAGAAACGGATTTTTTCTATGACTCCAAAGGGTTGCTGGAGTACGCCTGGAGTCACGCCGTGATATCAGACCAAGTGTATGAGCGAGCCAAAAAAGTATGCGACTTCAAGCTCTTGAACTGGAACGACGAATGCATCGACGCCATGAATGTAGTGTTCAGACAATACAGTGAAATCGACATCTACAATATTTATGCCCCGACGTGTCTCCTCACCAATGCTAGTACTACATCTTCTCATCATTCCAACAAGGTAAACCAGGTGGAAGAGAATTATGGCATGAGGAGGATCAGATTAACTCTGGGAGCCGAAGGCTACGACCCTTGTTATTCTAAATACACAGAGGTGTATCTCAACAGGGTTGATGTTCAATCATCACTCCATGCCAACGCCAAACAAACATGGAAGGTCTGCAAGTAAGTAATTCTGATACATGAATGATTAATTTACTTCATTCATTCGTTTCTTTTGATGGTGATGATTTAATTTGTTGTTGCATCTTGCTTGGATGTTTATCTTTATGCAGTGAATCCATATTACAGACATACAATTTTACAGTCTTTTCCACCATGCCAATCTACACCAAACTCATCAAAGCTGGTCTCAGGATATGGGTCTACAGGTTATTGTCTCTTACTTACCTCTGTTTTCATTCTATATACTTTTCTACACATATCATTTCAGTTTCAGATGAGAGAATCAACCCACCCACAAAAATGAAAAAGGAGAAGAATCTATTTCTACTTCTAGCTAGTATCACGTGTGCAAGTTTTTGGGTAAAGTGATATTTGTTTGTCAGAGATTTCAGTCCTGGACACAGAAACAAAAACCAGTCCAGCCGACATGTCTCGGATGCTTTTCCGTGATTTGTCCATATTTTCTTAATCTGCATTGTCCACATCTGATCAGACCATGGACCATGTTTTAAGCCGTTGGGGTTGAAAACTTGAAAACTTTCTTCTCTTATTAATCCCAAGTCCCAAGTCTGTCGCTGCTAATCTCTAATTGGACTCTGTGGACATCGACACAGCGGGGACGCTGACGGCAGAGTGCCGGTTATAGGCTCAAGATACTGGACCGAAGCTCTGGGTCTGCCTCTCAAAGAGCCCTGGCGCTCTTGGTACCACCACAGCCAGGTCTGTTCATCTGTATCTCTGTACTCTTACTCAACTACTGCTCTATTTCATTTCTATGCATGATTCCACAGATACAATTGTAAGACTCGGATGGCAAGTAAAACCGTTTTGGTTATTGGGTCACGGGTTAAACACTTCCACCCACCCTCTGGTCTGACCATTTGACTCTGAATTTTATATTATTTTTTACAGCTGTCTATACTTTAATAATAGTGTAAAATACAAAAACTTCTCCTAAAGTTTCTTACAATTATAAAAACCTCCCATCTAGTTTCATTTAACAAATACCTCCCTTAAACTTTTGAGAAACTCGACAAAAACCTCCCTTTGATTACCTTTTCAGACGGGAAACGTTAGACTGATGTAGCAGTTTCTTCCAAATACCCATTCTACCTTTTTATAAATTATTTTATATACAAAATTATTGAATAACCCGTTTAAGAAAGTGATGAAAGGGAGGTTTTTGTCAAATTTCTCAAAAATTCAAGGGTGGTATTTGTTAAAATTAAACTAAAAGGGAGGTTTTTATGATTGTCAGAAACTTTAGGAGAGGTTTTTGTATTTTACGCTTAATAATAACTAACAACAAAATAATGCTTTGGCAGTCGTTCTCCATCACAATGATCCAACCATCCTGTGGAGAGAATCAACATTGTTTGATGGGTGGATAATCAACTTACCCACACTCTAGGCGTGAAACACATTTTAGTGATACGAAAATATGAAAAAGTTGGTCAATTATCCAATTAATCAATTTATCCCGAAATGATACTTTAGTTCAATAAGAATGAGAATGATGCATGTATTCATGAATGGATTGTTTTGCTTTGTTTAATTAATTGCATAAAATTGGATTGCATTTTTGGAGGTGCTGATCGATGATGTTGGTTTGGGTGCAGGTTGGAGGGAGGATAGTGAAGTATGAAGGTGGATTAACATTTGTGACAGTGAGAGGGGCAGGCCACTTGGTACCTCTCAACAAGCCTAGCGAGTCTCTTGCCCTCATCAACTCTTTCTTGTCCGGCCAAGACCTCCCTTCTAACAAATAAAATTCCTGCAACAGCTTTGAGCATACTGCCTGGCCAAAATACACCAGGAGATTTTCTTTCTTTTCTTATTGGTGGAAGCGAATATTTACGATTCAAAGGTTCATGTGAATCTCTCTTTCTCTATTTCTCTCTCGGATGGGTGATGTAACAAGTGAATGATAGAGAGGATTAGCTGGACAAGGACAAATGTGAAGGCAGATTGTAGCAGATTCTTATACTTTCTCTGGCCTCTCTGTCCAAATCCAACTCCCCAAGAAAAAAAGAGATAAGTGCTAGCTTTGATCCCTTCTCTGTACTAGTGTAGTGATTACACAGAGTCCCCTCATGCTTTAGGAGTTTAGACATCAGGAGAAAACTGAAAAGAGCATTGACCTTTTCAGGGTATTTGTTGGGTTTTAAATAAATAACTTGCCACACCGGTGGTTTAGTAGAAAATAGAAATGGGCAAGCATTCTACTTTTTTATGCCGGCCGGCTGCACCGCTTTGACTGTGAATTTGTGATACGGTACGGTTGAAAAATGAAAAAGAGAACCATAAGTTGTTTTCTTCTGATGCTACCCAATCAAGTCCACATAGGTCATAGGCGTTTTTTCAATGGAAATTTGAAATAATGTTTGGTTTGGTTTAGCCATCACTTATATAAATATTTGTACCAAGGAATTTTAAGATATTTAAGTTTTTTCTTTTTTCTTTTTTATTTTCATTTTATAAATAATAATAAATAGATATTTTTATTAATTTAATTTTAAATATCCCCTGCCAAAGTATCTAATAGTTGGTTGATAAGCAAGGTTCAAAGTATCAATTCATATTGGCCTGTATTGGCTGATACATATCATGCCGGTGGCTTCCCTATACATCCTTACAGGGGTTGTATCGGGTCAGCCACTGGTTCAGAGGGTACCTGGGCCTTAAATCGGCCCCTCTGAACCAATTTCGACAAAAAAACTAAATAAAACATAAAAAAACATCGATACAGGCCAATACGCCTTACCAACATATCAACCCATGCCGATTTTTAGAAAACCTTGTTAATAAGGTCTCCCGTTAATTGTAGTGAAGACTTAAGATTGAATCCAGATTGCACTAGGGTTACTGGGAATGATCGATTGATCCCTCAGTTGTGTAGCTTCATGGAGCAACAATTTTTAGAGCTTTCCTTGTAGGTTGACCTCTTTTTTTTTTTTAAAAAAAAAAAAAAAAAACTCTGATTCTTTTTTATTTCCACTGCAAAGAGGAAATATACTTTAAACCTACCCCAAATATACTTTAAGCCTACAAATAATACAATTCTGAATTGCCACCTACCCTAAATATACTTTAAGCCTACAAATTCTAACCCTGAGCTGAACCGTCATTCTTCCTAAAATTAATCAATTTTCTAATTTTTCGTGCATCATACTGAGACCTCTAATTTATCAATAAAATGCTTTGGGGGAAACGTAATTTTGATGCTTCCCCCGATGGTTAGACTTATTCAATTTATGTGGTGTCTAATGTCAATTAATGGCATCTAGCTGTCATAAAAATAATAATAACCATATTGTCATGCGCGCCCTGATTTTAAAGAGAAAATCATATAAAATATTTTGTAAATAAACGGTAATGCAACTAAACAGCCCCCTAATTGCATCAAAATTCAGTTTTCCTTATTGTTGCATTATAGTATTTGTCTAGAAAAAAATACAGCGTTTTAAAAATATGATTCTTGTATCGTACTACCGTTGCATTTCCAATTCTAATGAAAAAAACTTATAATAATAAATAGGGTAAAGAATCTGTCCAGCCCACAATTTTACAATAGTTGGATTTGGATTTTCAATCTTCACGCTGGATGAATCCAAAAGTTTGGAATTTTTGGGTTGGGTTTGGGCCTAGTCCTTAAGTAATTCAAATACAGCCTGATCCCAACACAATTATATACATGTACATAGGCATATATAGATATATTTTCGTGCACACAAGCATTGAAGCATATATGTATAATTTTTAATAAAATATACATATATGCATAATTGCATTCATATGCACAAACATGTACATCAACTTTTATTGTGGATTGATTCATCAATCTAAATGTATCAAATTTTAGTACAGGTAGAGCTTGGGTTGGATAGTTTGAACCTGACCCTGGGCTTGGGCTTTAGGCCCAATTCTTAGGGTTAAGCTAGGGTTGAACTAAAGTCCAGCCCAACTTGCACCCCTATGTATAAGTAGGGTTAGGCCAAGTCAATAGTCATACCTTTATCTTCCTATAAAGTAAAGATATTTATTTTGGTAAATTATAAAGTAAGGATATTGTCTTTGGAAAGAATGAATCTATTCACAACTTAACCAAGAGCGGATGCAGTCATCACAAAACAGTGTTCACACTATACTCAAAGTCAATTGTAGCTGTGCTTTGAAAATATTTCACTATAAATAAAAACATACAAATATGAAGATATTCTTAATACACGGTTGCAAGTGACTGTGAATATGGTGTGAGCACCATTTTGTTTTGTGAGTATGAATCCGATCTCCAAATTATCATATATCATAATTAGGCCATACTGATAGAACCAAATATCGATCACCAGTCAAATAGAAGGAAAAGTGAGAAAGTTAGCAATACAGTCAGTGAAGCGCAAGTCGCTAGAACCGTAGGTCTTCTTCCATCATCTCCTTGTTGCAAATTTAAGCAATATACCTACTCAGATATCATTTTATATGTTTCTAAATGCAATTATTATGTCATTTAATGTCTTATATATATATATATATATTGATTTTTTTTTCTTTTATTTATTTTAGTAGACGAAAGGCAAGCACATTGAATTGAAGGCCTTATTAAGTACGTCATGAGATCGGATGTACTACTTAAATCATCTTGTGAAATGATGGAATTAGGGGTGTCAATGCACCTGTTTCCAAAATCAATTTGGAGGGATTGGATGGACCAAAAAGACATATTGAATTGGACCAGGCCAGTCCAGACTTAATGATTCAAAATATTTATTGGATTGGATTGGACTTGGTTCATCCATAATAAATCTATATCGAATTGGTTTGGATTGAATTAATATCTGGTCTATTGATAGAAGATAAGAATATAGGCATCGATGGACCAGGTTTGGTTTAAAATCAATCTAAATTAAAACAAATTTGAACATATTAGACAGTCCAGACATTGAATTGGATCAGTCCAAAATATTCATTGGATTGGATTGAACTTGGTCCATTTGTGATGGACTCACATTGAACTGGATGGATTGGACCAAATCCAATCCAATTGACAGCCTTATTATATGCAACCCAAAATATTTTGGTGCAATTGACAGGAATAATTCATTCAAAGCTAACAAAACGAAGGAAGCCACAATGGGAATGAAGTACGTGCATCCATTGTTGATTAATTTACCACATAAGATACATTTAAGTTGTCCATCAGCCTCCACTTTATTTTGGATCTCAGTCTCACTCACCAGCTGCAAAGGTGAGTTATTTATAGATATTAGTAGAGTCCAACAACAGCTCAGGAAGGAAGGTAGATCCCTCCAACAGCTGCATCATCATCGAAAGGAGCAAATCTGACGATGGAATTACAGGTGGGCGTGAAGTAGACCGGGCACTCGATGAAGTGAGACCCAGATTTATCCACGCACAGGTGAATTTCGTAGAGCTGATTGCGCCCAAACTTGTCGTCTGAGCAGACCACCGAGGGAGTATATCCGGTTGCCGTTCGGACGGCTTGGATGATTTTCTCCCGACTGTAATATTGTCCGGTGGGTTTGATTCCTGCAGCAACGACGTTAAATATTGATGAAAGTAATTAATTAGTACGACTGTAACATCATCAACGTAACAGTACGTGAACGCAGCTAGCGTTACGGCGCCATTACCTTCGTCCTCAAGGATCTGGAGGAGATCCACTCTGTCCTTTAAGTCGAGAGCTGCTTTGAAGTATGCATGTTGAGTACCGAAGGTGGGCAATGAACAGGTCCCGTATTTCTTCCACTGGTAAGCCCAGAACGACTCGCTGTTGCTGCTTGGGCAGGAAAATGATGACCAGTTGCGTTGCATTCGCCTGATCAGCCCTCTTAACTACACACACCATAAAAATCTCATACAGTGAATCATCTGTGACGACGACTGGAGGAGGAGGAGATAAACGGAAGAAGAAATGGAGATTAATTATTACTTCCAATCGATCGAAGGAGTTCCTGATACGCTCAAGTTATCTAACAAGAGGGAGAATGATCTAGAATAAGGAGAAGAGAGAGAGAGAGTTTGTTTGTAGAAAAGCCAATGCCAACTCCATTTATTTAGGCTATATTTATAGCCTTATGGTGCTACAAACTGAGAGTAGAAATAGGAACTACTGCCCCTTAATCTTAGGAGCTTATCAACAAAAAAAACAGAATGCACTTATCTAGGAACAGAAT